GAAGGGTAAAAGAATCTCTTCTTGGCCTTTCAACACACCTATCTATATGACAATTCATATTATGAGAATTGACTTGATCGTCGAGGGTTTACCGTCAGAAACACTCCCAACGTGTTTTGTAGGATGCTCCGGTGGTCATAACTGTCCGAGGTCACTGGAAGGCCAGTTTGAGGAGGAATTGCACATGAAGCACGATAAACTTGAGATGTGTTAATAAGTTGGATCAATTTTTACTAACACATGTTAGTAAATCCATCTCTAACCTAACCTAAGACCAACTAATACATTGCTAAATTGAAGATTTACAATAAAGGAGGACTAATTTTTAGGTCCAACATTGTACCGGAATTATGTGCCAAATGAGAAAAGTGACCAATGTTGTGCCATATACGATGCAACACTACTACACCACATTTTTTATTTAATATAATTTTTAACAGTGTGCAATATTAATTGGTAATAATTCATAATTCAATTTTAAGAAGTTCATCAAAGATTTTCATTTTACGAAAAAAAATATATGTTTATACTAAATTCGGAGAAAATAATTTAACATATTATATTTTTCTATTAAAAACTAATTTAAATTAAAGAGAATATAAATAGAATATTTATATAAAATAAAATGTAGATCTAACGATTGAAAACAAAATTTATTTTTTGGAGTAGAGCTTATTCCCTTTCAGAGTAGATATAAAAGCTGAGAATTTGAAAAAGACAAACATAAACGGACAATATCACAACACTTTTATATTAAACCAAGAAAATTTCATTACATACGACAAAAATGATTTATGGGATCAAATATTTTAATTTCTCATTCGGACCCTATTTTCCCTCGAAATTGCAATATCCTCCACTTTCTTTCCTCGATTTTCTTCAACCTCTCTCTTCCATTCTCTCTCAGTAGCCCACCATTTGGTTGTCAAATTTTTGGAGGGGAAGGAAGAACGAAGGAAGAAAGTAGATGATTTAGTTTATCAACCGCCGGAGTATATGTATTCAGGTGACCTGAGATCCGTTTCCGATTTGTCATGGGCGCCTCTGCTTCTTCTGCATTAGGGTTTGCCCCGAATTGTGGACGTCGAGGCTCGAGAGATCCGTACTGTAAGTACGCATTCTAGCGCCATTTTTATCTCTGCATAGCTCTTGCGCAAAGATTATTCGCGAGTTTTTTCTTTTTTTTTTTTGCATTATTTTTCCCCACTTTTGCCCAATTTATGTGTTTTAACAATAGACTGTGTTGTGGAAAAATGCGGATTTTTGCTAGTTTCTTATGTAGAGAACTTGAATGCTGGCTGATTTGAGCTGCCTGTTGTTGAATTATGCAGCTGGGTTATCGATCTGAAGATGTCTTTTTGTTTCTGAAGATTAAAGAAGTATTTCTGGGGGCTCCGTGGAAGCTAGGGTTTCTGGAGCTCGCGTTTACTGTCTACTACTCTCAAGATTTGGTGGTTAGTTTATTTCAATTTTGGGATGAATCGTAGTTTTAGAGCACCGGAAAGGGGGCAAATGGGGAACCTGAGATTGAAGGATAACAGAGACGAAGATTTGGCATTGTTTCGGGAAATGCGGAAGCGTGAGAAGGAGAGGAACAATCTTCTTCTTCTTCAGAATTCGGACGAGTTTGATGCTCCACTTGGTATGGTGAAATGTTTCGATTTATTTTTCTTTTATTTATTTATGTCCCTTTTCTTCTCCTCGTATGCTTTTGGACTATGTTTGTTGGGTTTTTTTGAGTTTTCTTGTGACTTGATAAAGGTTAAGTGGTTCTTGATTCGGTTATTTTTTATTTGTTTCTTAACATTTGATTTGGAATTTTTTCGGATTAGATTTAGATGTTTGCTTTGTTACTATTTCTATTCTTTTGCATTCTGGCTGTGTGTGTTGCTGTCCTGAAACAAGCAGGAGGTGTAATGTTTGCTTTGGAGATAGGATTTGATAGGTCTTTCTGCTATTTTGATGCTGGCTTTGTTATTATTCCTTGTTTTCATAGTTGGTTTTGTTTTTCTTATTGCAGGACACGGTGCTTCCCCAATATTCAATATACCTTCAGCGACACCTGCTCCTGGCCGAAAGACTGGTGCTGATGATTTTCTCAATTCTGATAATGATAAAAATGACTATGACTGGTATTTGCAGCTTGCTTCCCAACATTTGCTTTTATGTTGCACTTGAAGACTTATGAATTTGATTTATTTATGAGACAGATTAACTAAAGACAAATGAAATGGAAAACTGGAAGATTTTTATTCTAGTTGATATACTTGTTCTCTTGTTAATGTTGCTTAACCGAAAGCATAAAACCACACTAGGAGTTATTTGGAGTATGGACACCGGAGAGAGATTCGAACTATTAGTAGGATTAACTCTAATCTTGACAGCAGATGGACATGAAAAAATTCATAGGTGTAAGGTCATCTGAGATGATAATTGCTTATATTTTATTTCCATATGAATTGAGAAGACATTGAAGCATAACATCTTAGTTTGTAGATATTTTGATTAGAGTTCTGACAAAATAGTACATTGAAGATAACCACTGTTCCTTCCAGGATAATGTTATATTTAAAATAAATCTCCAAACGGACTGAACAATGTGGTTTGGAAGTTGGATCATCCTATTTTGATTTTGCTCTAGTTTTTTAAATGTGCCTTGAAAAACTATTACCACTCAGAATAGTATTACAAAAGAGAATAATTTGAGGGTTATCAATCGCAAGAGGCTGTACAATAGCTTTTTGATTACCATTGTGTAGGCAAATGCATATAATATATATTACCTTGTTACATATATCCCTGTGTACCGGCATCAGGAATAATTGAACCATAAGAAAGAATCGCGTTTTTGGTTAACTTTGAACTGTGGTTATCTTTTATGTATATGCAACAGTCAGGCATGTAAGGACTTCCACTTAGCTTTTATCGGGTCATCTAATTGAATCCCATTTCTCAAAATGGCCTTTATTTGATTTTCTACTTGAATGTATTTTTTTCGCTTTTCAGGCTTTTGACACCTCCTGGAACTCCTCTGTTTCCTTCACTGGAGATGGAACAACATAAAACTGTAATGAGCCAGCTTGGAACTCCAAAAGCTCGACCTACAACTCTGAAGTCTAGAGTAAGTGGAAATGGATGAATTTGCTTTCTATTGAACTTCTAAGAAACTGTGTTTGTCTGACTGAACCAAAAAGTTTTATAGAAAAATCTTAGGGCTTATACGAGCACAATTCAACTCACCAAACTTGTTGAGGTATGACCTGTAATTGCTCAATAACCAGTGTGTGTGGTTGTCATATAAGTACCTGATTGTGCTATATGGCAGGGACTGTTGCCAATGTGATTAATATAATCAATTAGTAAACCTAGGACTTTGTAATGGCGGGACACGTAATCAATTTGTGAACATTGACAATTTGACATCTAATGGAAGCTAAATTAATAATGCTCATTAATATCATTACATGTGTTAAGTCTGTTATGTATATACAAGATATTCACCTTTATTTTCTGATGGAGCATACAGTGGCCTAATTTTTTTTTTAAAAAAAAATTCAGACGATTCTTGATATGTAGAATTTTGCTAGCAAACTTCAGATTCTTTATATAGTTTATCATCTCTTGGCCAGTTACCATGTGGACATTACATAGCAAGTTATATCTCTATTCAAATTTGTGAGACGGTTCCAACTATAATTACTATTATTATGATCATCATCATCA